TGAAGTTGTAAATTGAGTAAATAACTCTCGGCTTCGAACATGATTATTTTTATTTTTTTAAGACTAAATAATAAAAAGTTTATGTTCCGTAATATTATGTAAAAGTAAAAGTTTAGTTTCCTTTTTTAAAAAATGAACACTACCATCAACGTAAACTACTCAGCATATTTGATTGAAGAAAAAGAATAATAAAATAAACAAAATACTTACATTGACAATCTTTTTCACAATGGATCATGATCTTAATAGCAGCTCCAGAATGAGCAATCTCAAAGTCTTTTTCACTTTCCTCTAATGAGAATTTATGGGTAATCAAAGGCTTCATGTCCACCGCTCCACTGGCAATTAGCTCTAAGGCTGCTGGATAACAGTTTGCATAGCGTAAACTTCCACGCATATCAATTTCTCAAACTGTGGCTTCTAAAATAGGTATTTTTATATCACATAACCCTATTCCTACTGACATCAGCAAACCTCCTGGTGCAGTTGCTTCGAAATATAAGGAAATTGAAATTAATGTTACAGATATTCTCAAAATGAAAAAATAAACCCGCTTTGCTTAATTCATAGTTAATCGTATACTAAATCACCCAGATGTGAGATATACATTTGATCGATGTACCTTTGGTGGGGGTATAACGGGAAAAATATTGAAAACAAAATAATTCCAAAAATTGGTGATAGCAGAAATTTCAGCGTGACAACATCAAACGAAACTGATATTTCAAAACTAAAATGCATAGTATCCGGACGCTACTAGATATCTGGATTAGAGCCGTGGTGGATAGAGCGTTCTCCTTCCAATCAGGCAAACTGGGTTCAAATCCTAGTGATTGCTGGTCAATACGAATTCTGCACCCGGATCGCGTCAACCACAGTGCGGACGTAAAATAGCCTTAGTTGTAGATGGATAATGGGTCAGAGTTCCCTTGCCGTCAGGATAACCGTGGGAGGTTTTCGTGTTTTTCCTTACCATGTAAAGCGAATGCGGGTTAGTTCCATCAAAAAGTCTCCAAAGAAGGCAAATTTCTTCCAATTCTCATGTCTTCTGGATTAAGTTCAAGCTTACAAGGTTACGAAATTGGGTCAGCTGTTCAACGACGATTTTAAGATATCTGGATTGCTGATTCAATTTTGCCTATTTTCGCAGGGAGTTGTTGTTTTTAATTACATTCGGACAAGCCAAGCTCGCTAGCTACTAGCTTTAAAAATTAATTCAGGAAGGAGTGCCTATGAAAAAAGCGCTGATCAGAATTCCCCAGATAGGAGGCAGCACCACTCATTCGTGAGGCCACTTTCACATTTTTGACATAGATCTGACTCAGGTTAAAATTTTCTAGAAACCGCTGTACTCATGGTTCTGCTCAGTGACGTACCGCAAGTTTCGATTCCTCACATTTCACGAACACGTACTTTGCAAATACTCGTTGAGTCTTTTGCTGCTTGGTCTGCTATTTCATTACCGATTATACCTGTATGTGCTGCCACCCAATGTATTTGAGACACACCACACCAATGCAACACACCAATGAACCAGCAGACCAAGCAGTTAGAGAAGCAGCTGCCAGTACCCCCAGTAATGTGAAACTCTCACCATCGAGTCTAAAAAATCCGATTCTCTAATCACAAGGTTACCGTCTTTCTATCTTCATTCCAAACGCCAGTACACTTACTTGATTTCTAGCGCTGACCAGGAAGGACGCGCGCCTCCAGAGCAAACAAGGATCATTGAATGACCCAAAACCAAATTTATTCATACGCTACTTAAAAACTTATGGCTTTTATTGGAAACCTAACATTTCTGAGCCTTAGACAAAGAATACTTATTGCTTAACTATTCCAATCTTTCTGCAATTTTATGAGCGATAAGATTTATTAAAACTTGATATTTACTCACACCGAAGAGCCATTACATTATGACCACCCTCCATCTGTAACAATGGGCTCGTCCAGGTTTTCATGGTTTCTCACCCAGGAACAATGTTTTAATGGGGCACATTAGGACCCATAATCCTCATAGAACAATCCCTGACGTCTGTAAGCTACTTGAACATAGTTCACCCATTCATGGCAACAGTTTTTCCTGCGGGGGATGGTGTTCACCAAGAGGATAATGCACCATGTCATAAGGGTCGAATCGGCATGGATTGGTTCGAGGACCATTCCAGTGACTTTCAAGTCATGTCTTAGCCCCCAAATTTACCTGACCTGATTACCAATAGAGCATTTGTGGTCCTACCTGGAAAACCAAACTCGTGCTGCCACGCTATCCCCTCGCAATGTGAGGGAATTGCAGGACCAGTTGCTGAGCGCTTGGTACCAGACCTCAGACTACCTATCAGCACCTTGTGGAATCAATGCCACGGCGGGTGCTAGCAGTTTTGAGGGCTAAATGTGGTCCTACTTGATATTAGCAGGGTGGTCATAATGTAATGGCTCTTCGGTGCATATAATAATTAGTATATAAATTAATATATTATATACGATATGATTGTTTTAATGCAAACATGAATGTATATAATGATTGCTATTTATATTTCGTTTTCTTGGAGACAATTATTTTTAACAGAAGCTATATTTTCCTTGCAAAAACAATGTGAGCACAAATTGCTAGTTTCACTAGTTCTAGATTTCTCGAGCGAAGTTTTATTTTAAAGAAGTTTGAAATTTATATTTTGGAGATTCCAGGACGCAACTGTTTCATATCTGAAATTTTAGTTTATGATTCATACCAGGATTAACCTCACGTTTGCCTGCGTTGATTTCTAATAAGTGAAATAGCAAGGTATTTGATTTTCATACAACGTTCGAGAGCGTCGTCGGGTTTTTGTACACAATTAGCAGCAAATATTTTATTTTATTTTATAGCAAGGCAGTTCTTATACTTAAGCAGCAAAAGTTTCGGAACGTTGTTAAAAAAAAGTAGAAAATACTTAACACACTGCACTCGTGGAATAAAATGGTTTTTAAAATAGATGGAAAGGCAAGCAGTATCATTCTATGACTCCCAGTAGCTGATTATTGAGTTAGAAAAATGATGGAATAGTGTTCTATTTATTCACAAAAGGCAAATAAAGATGGAAAACTCAGCTACTTTTAAGAAAAGAGTGAACAGATGTCTAGTTTTCTAGGAACAAGAACTTATCGACGGTATGGGGTCATAAAATCATCCCCACAGCCAAAATTCAGTTCGTATAATAACTAAAAATGAACCATAACATATTTTAAGCGGACGCCATACCACGGGAGAAACTTTTCATCCCAAATTTTCGTTCACCTCCATTACTAATTTAAAACTTAAAAAAAGGAAAAAGTGAGTGTAGGCAAACCTGGAATAAGCCATTAAGTTTCTGTTGCTGAAAAAAGAATTATACTATCAAAATACAAACAACTTACTAAAAAAGAACTTCATCCATTGCGTAATCCTAAGTTATTTTCTCATAACTTATTTTAATAAAAAATTTCTTTTTAGTATTTGAAATTTCATGGTGTACTCTAGGTTTGTCTGAACTCACGTTTTCTACACTTTCAATTCTAAATTAGTTATGAAGGTGAAAAATGGTGATGGAGGTGATGTTTCCCCTGTGGTATGGCTTCCTCTTAACAGTGTAAATATTCGAAATCATAAATAATTACCTAAACACTCTTTTTTCCTTTTCTTTTTTTATCAAAACAATTCGGTAACATTAGAATAATTTTTTAGGAGTGCATACTAAAAAAAAATGGCCAAAACGACAGTATGGTCAAATTTGGCTTTGTGTGATCACCAAAAAGAACGATACTTTTTACCGTAGTGCTTTGTCAATGGCTTTCCTAAAATTAAAAGTAAAATATTGCAATATAGTATGCGTTCAAATATATTAAATGTGGTAATTTTATCATGATGCCATAGAGTATTACATAAAACCTATTTATTCACTTACATTTACTTTTCAGTTTTTTATCTTGACCAAGTGAATGGTATTAAGATCTAAAATTTAAAAAAAAGAAAAAGAAAACAGGATTTCGGGGTAAAAACGTCGCTATCTGAACAGAAAAACAACATTATGAATGGTTTAAATACCGCATAATATGATTTTATAGCTATTTTTTTTTACCAAAAATGTCTTTACTATAAGTTACCGTAATTGAACAAGAATTTCTTTCTCTGTGTAGAACTGAATTATTTTAATTTTTACAAATGCCCATTGAATGTCCTTTTGCTGAAAAAAATATTAAAAGCTTGAACATCAAATAGCAGAGTTAACATTCTGATTAAACGTTCTTGAACCTTTAATACATTTCTTTTAAGGTATTTCCTTGAATACTTTGAACTTAAATATTTATTAATTTATTGACTATTCATTAATAGATAACTATACATAAATAACTATTTAAAAGAACCGATATATCCTTTTCTAAAGAAAATTGTTTTCACTTTGAAAAAAAAATATGAATTATAACTATGCTTAAAGTCAAATGTTTATTTAAATTAAACAACATTTAAAGAAATACAATATCCAAAATGTTACAAAAATTACTTTAAAGTTATCCTAGGACATTACAGTTACAAATTCGTATCTCAAAATGTATTATACAATATTACCAAACATACATACTATTACCTTTACCTTACATAATATTACCAAACATACATAATATTACCTTTAAAACTCTTCATTTCCTTAAAAATAACATTTAGCATTATGAATTTAAAAACTGGAAATTGCAATCAATCAGTAATCGAGTTACAAGTTTTTGTTGAATTTTCACTGAATGAAAATCATTTTTCCATTAATGACAGTAACATAAGTTTAAATATGCTGACTATACGCCTTTAACGCAACATTTAAAAGGACATTTTTGCAAATAATTAAATGGCGATTTGTAATAACTTAAACTGCCTACAGCTGTAACTAATCATGTCCGCAAGTTTCAAATAAAATTTTATAAATAATGCTTGAAATTCAATACTTACATATGCATGTTTAAATGTGCAAATAAATTAAAATAATTGAAAATATCATTCAAAAAATATTTTATTAAGCATTAATTAACAACGAGACAAATACAATATAGCTTACACTACAAAAATAGTACTTATGAAACTGAATTTAATATGATTAAGCTCATTTATGATTTAACATTCTTTTTGAACTTAATTGTAAATGCATTTATTTTCCACAATGAATCATGACTTTTATGGCACCTCCAGCACCTGTATGTGCTGTTTCAAATGCTTTGATGCTTTCTTCAAGTGTAAAATGGTGCGTGATTAGAGGTTTCAAATTTATAGCACCACTGGAAACTAGTTCCAAGGCAATGGGATAACAATTGACGTAGCGAAAGATTCCACGAATGTCAACTTCTCGAATTGTTGCTTCAATTATGGGGATTTTAATTTCGGGGGCTCCAAGTCCAATTAACATTAGTACACCACCAGGTTTTGTCACCTATAAGAAGATACATTTTACTAAAAATATGAACAGAAAAAAATTTGAAGAATTCAATCAGACAATATTTTAAAGATTTAATTTCATAAGTTTGTGAATTAATCAGGTATTTTGAAAGTTCAAAACCTAATAAAATAGAAAAAGCTTGTTATGTTCTGCTTAGGAAACTGAAAAATTTACTCTCGCTGAATCCCCTTATTAGTTTAAAAATTGTTAACAGATGGCGCTGCCAAATGAAACAAATTTTAAAAATTAATTTTCTAAATAAGCATTTTTGGCAGAAAAAGTATAGAGCAGTGCAAGAAAAATTTTCAACATTATCTGTCACTACAGGGTTTAAATATACAGAGAAAATATTTCATCTAGAATTGTCAGATAAGCAACGGATGACAATGCTTTATTTTTGTTGAGCGACGTTGCTATGTGTTGATAAATTTTATGAAACTAATTTTTATACGCTAATAAATAAAAATTGAATGACTCATTTAAATATAAATTTATGCAGGTTCAATAATAATAGCTTTATTCAATCTTATGGTTATTTAATGAAAAATGATTATTAGCTTTTCTTGAATGCAAATATAGTGTTTGGTTTCTGTAAGTTTTTCTGTTGCATGTCATTTATTTCAATTTAAGTTCCTAAGAGTTTGGTCATTTTAAGACTTTGCAGTGGTAGCTCGAACCTTTGAAATTTACAATTATGTTCTTAACAAAGTTGAGAATCTTCAATAGCAGTTCGTTTCTTTTTAAACCATAATTATTGCTTTGTTTATGAAAGTTCTTCGATTGCCTATCATTTATTTAAATTTAAAAGTTTTTATTTCAATAACTTATTCAGGATTAAAAATTTTACTTTTTTCGAGAGAAACTAATTTTAGTGATTTAATAATTGATTTAATTTCCTGAGACACACTTCAAAGTGCCTTAACTAACACTGATAAAATTTATGGTCAAAACTATCAGAAAAATATTTACCATGTTTCTGGCTCCATAAAAACACAAAAAAGTTCGGTAACTTTTACCGAAGCGCTTTGGTAATAACTAGGTTAATAAAATATGGTTTTATAATATGTGATAAAATTTGATAAATTTTATAAAATTTGGTAATTTTTTCATGATACCACAGAACACGGCATAAAACCCACTTCGGTTAAATCTACTGATCAGTTTTGTATTTTTCTCTAAAGCGGTCATAAGAATTTTGAAATTTTAAAAACCAGAATTTGCGGTAAACAGTTACCATATGAACGTAAAACTTACCTAAGGAATGATTTAAAAACCGTATATTTTGGCTTTTATTTAGATATTTTTTTACCAGAAATATCTCAATCAGCACGGTAATTTCGTCAGCATTTCTTTGTGTGTAGTAACGAGCGAAGCTAGTATGGTTTGCAAAGCAAACCATATAAGCAATCCTCTCGGCATTCAAGTATAGCACACAAAATCAAGCACAATCAAATAATTATAATCAAGCAATGACACACATAATCACAAGCATAGTACTATTCAAGGGTAAGAGTACTTCAGTGAACAGGGGAGTGGAGCCCGCTTGTTTTGATTTATTTTGTTGCTTGTTTCCTTCTTTAAATGTATTGTTTATGTTTGCTATAAAGGAAGAAACTGCATTCCACTTTAAATCAAAACTAAACTTAACTATGTTGTTTATTATACGAGGGTTGTAAATTAAATAGTGGCAACTTAACCTTTAAACTCACAGAAGGACGAGCATGCGCAAATTAGATATGGGAGCTGTGAGGTGGGGCTGTTGTCGATGTGTAGAGTGCAAACAAAAAGTCGATTAGCTTAGAAGGGTAGTTGTTGTGTGGCGTTAAAGTGAGGAGTTTCGTTTCCATTGCTCTAAAGCATGTTTTCAAAAGGTGATCAGCGGTCGTGGCTTACAATCGAGGTTGCCCGTGGCAAAAATGCAACAGAATGCTATCGAGGATTAGTGGAAGCCTTTGGAGCAAATGCTTTACCATATAGGACAGTAGCACGATGGATTCAATCATCTCGTCTTTCTTCGTCATTAAGCCTTTTCACAACATGCTTTAGAGCGATGGAAACGAAACTCCCCACTTTAACGCCACGCAACAACTACCCTTCTAAGCAAATCGACTGTTTTTTGCACTCTACACATCGACAACAGCGCCACCTCACCGCACCCATACCCTATTTACGCATGCGCGCCCTTTTGTGAGTTTCAAGGTTAAGTTGCCACTATTTAATTTACAACCCTCGTAGTTTATTAAAATTTCACTGTTTTTGAATTTATTGTTTTAGAAAACTCACCTTCATACCAAGTTTTACACTCGGTTCTGCTCCGCTACATTCAAGGGTTATATCTGGTTGCCCACCAAGCCTGGAAATCACTTCTTTCATAACGGCTTCAATTTCCATGTTTTTCACACAAACAGTATTTTTTGCACCTAGGGCTTGGGCATTAGAAAGACGATTTTCCAATATATCTATCGAATGAAACAAATATCGAATATTACTTGATAACAGTTGGGATAAAATATTAATAAATTTATTAAATTTATATTATTTGACACGAAAAGAATATATGTAGCCATCATATCTTCAAAGTTTAATTTATTTTTATTATTAAATTATTTTAATTATATTAACTAATAATATTAATTATAATAATTATTTGCAATTTTAAATATTATGTTTTAATTATAATTGCTTATAATAATTAAATATTATTTATTAAGTTATTTCTGTAATGAAATGTATGAAGAATAGCACTAATAATAAGTAGCATCACTTTCCAAAATAATATATTAGTAATATAGGATACAGAAAAATACTAAATTTTACTCACCAGTGACACATATTTTTGAAACACCCATGGCTTTACATGTTAGAATATTTAGTAAGCCTATCGGTCCTAAAAAAAACAGATATTAAAATAATAAAGATTATGAAATTTTAATCAGAAAAAATTTAAAAGAAGATCACTCTTCAAAATTGAGAAAAAAGAATAAAATTGAGAATAGTACCTCGATAGAGGATGGTAGGCTTTAGGGGTACATGTCTGTACGCTATAGCGAGTTGATATTCATTCCCACTCAAATTAAAACTTGCAAATTAGAAAATTTAGCTGCTATTACCTGCTTATGAGGTGTGAATTTAACATTTTAACCATTTTTATAATAAATCATAAAAAATGGTCAATAATTTGAGATACACTCTGTGAAATATACTAAAAATGGCTCAAACATAGAGATATTTGAATCTAAGACAATTGGGCAGTGAATTTTAGCTAAAATGATGGTTAAAATTAATCGATAATGAATAAGCTTATGAATTTTCGTCTTTCAGGTTTGTAAAAAAAATTTAAAAAATCCTAAATCTAAACTTTAAAATTTCATAACGGTAAAACCTTATAAGGCGACACTCTAATAAAAATAGTGATAAAAGGATATTTAAAAGTGAACATGAAATAAAGCAGGAGCTAAACGATTTTCAAAACAGCAACAGCAAATTGTACAAAAATAAAGCAAGAGTTAAACAACTTTGAAAACAGCAAATTGCACAAAAATAAAGCAAGAGTTTAACAATTTTCAAAACAACAACAGCAAATTCTACAAACCAGCTCCGCATATGAGAACAGACTTGCCAGCAGTAACACCAGACCTTTTACAACCATATACAGCAACAGAAAGTGGTTCAATCATGGCTCCTTCGTCATAGCTTACATTGTCGGGAAGCCTAATTACGATAAAAGCATTGTTAAAATAAATGTTCTTTTGTTATGTCTAAACTCTTAAAAAGCAAGCAAGTCGTAATCTTTTAGTAAAGTTTTTGTTTTCAAATACTGTTGAGTAACTGCAAAACTTATTAAAGGCCTGAAATGATCCCTCGCAGCTTTTGTACAATTTCAGAACAATTACAAAATTTTGTAGTAATATGAGAAATATATACACTGGCAAACTTTTCACTTTATTAAATTGTTATTTTTTAAGAATTTACAATATTTAAAGTGTCCGACATACAAACTAGTTCGGTCGCAATTATTTGAATTTAATTTGTTTTTCTGGCATTTTGGCACTAAACTAATTTAAAATTGTGTGTATGATTTCTTTTAATCTTTTTAATTTTTTTCTTATTTATTTATTTTATTGTTAATTTCGTCGCTGGATAATTTTTGTCTAGTACATTTAATATAATCTCGCATCATACATGCGTAAATATTTTAAAAACAGAACATTATTTTTTCCAAATTATAAAATAGCCATAAAAGTTAAGCAGCATTCATGTTTAAATTCTTCAGATAGAGATACATGTTTATTTGTCAATGATAAATATATATTTTTATTATGTTATTTTTATTTTAGGGTCAAAAGTCTAATTCAGTGATAGAATCTAGTCTAAGTACGAAAACTATGCATGCATTAAATACCATGAGTAACTTTGATCTATATATCGGATATTCTCCTACTACTGCTCAATATTTACGTTAACCTAAGAAACTAAAATGAAATAGGCTAACTTGTTAGTTCAGACGATATGAAGTTACAAAATAAGACACAAAAATATTCTTTTTTCCTTAATTGATATGCCTTTCCTTTCGACGGATTTGGAATATTTACGCTAAAAATGCAAGAGGGGAAGCCACCTTGCAAAAAACGGCTCCAATCGAGGTAAGAGTGCAGTTAAAAATTAATACGCATAATCGATTGAGTTCAAATTTTGGGGTTCAAATTTATACTACTTAGATGAGATGAGATACTACGTAGATTTAAGAACAATAAATTTATTTGCTCATCATTGAAATAAGTAATAAATAACTAATTTATGCTAAATATTATCTTTATTCACCATCGTTCCAAAATTACAAGCAAACCCTACCGGAAGTCTTAAGGTCCCCTTCTGACGTCATAGCATTGACGTGACTATTTTTTTTTGACGTTCCTGGTTTGTTTGTATACTCATGGAGTACTCAGTTGTTCTGAATTTAATATTTGAGTCGTGTTTTTGAGAAAAAAACGTGTTCTTCATATTGTAAAATTTCCGATGAGGTTATGAAGAAACTTCCTTTGGGAATTTATTTTATATTGATATGTAATTACATTAACGTTGAGATGAGGATGTACGCAATTTAGTTTATACCAGCAGAAATTATTCTACCTACAAAATTCTTCTGCATGCAACGACTAGTATTTGTATGCCAAGTGAATCTTCTACCGGAAGTTAAAACAACCTCTACAAATACTGCCACCTTCCGTGGAGAACATGAAACACGATTGAGAATAATGCGAATAAAAGCACGTTTTAAATTCACAAAAAAAATTTTTTTATTCGCTTCCATAATTCCGATGATATGACAAACTACGCAAAAACTGAGATTAACAGTATCGGAACGGAATTTTAATCGATCCTGCTAACAGTTCAATTTCTCTTTTCTATTCGACTATTTTCTTCAGATTTCAGCTACCTCCCATTTTCGAGAGAATCAAGAATCTTAAAAAAAATTATGTTCAAAGAAAAATACGTTTATTTATTTATTTTTTTGCTGATTTTTTAACATGATAAATCGTCTGCCCTAATTAATTAGGTTATTTATGATTAGGCACATCAATAATTGAAATTGGGTCCTTTCATAGAAATTCGATGTTCCGTTCGTTTTTTTCCTTTCTCCGCTGTTCATTTAAATCAATTTTTCCTCTAAAAGAAAATGACAACTTCACTAAAAGAAGTTTATACAAATCGTCACACTGTAGTACAAATTTCTTGTACTCGTATTTTGACTTTTAAACGAGTAATACTTGTACTCGTGAAAAAGAACGAAATTTATACAAATCGTCATATTAAAGTACAAAATACTTGTACTCATATCGTCACAGAAAATGTATCTCAAAATAGCTTACTTGAAACAATAATCCGCGTCGTGACAGTAATAACGGCACAGTGATCCATCGTATGGTGGTGTAGCACAGAATTTTATATCTGGACAAATATTGTAACTTCCTTTCTTACAAAACTCACATTTTCCACAAGGTACACCTGGCTCAATAGCTACCCTGTCACCTAAATATATAAAAAGCGCACTAGCTTATCAAGACGTCTCAAATCGAAAGGAAGAAATTAAATGAATTAGAACAAAAATGAATTAGAACAGTTTTTACTTTATTTATTATTTAGAAAGTCCAATTTTTATGTCTGTAATAAAAAATATTCTGAGGAAAAAAGTAAAAATGAAAAAATATGTAACGAGAAATTATAAGATCTGAGACAAGTAAAATTGAAAAATAGAACACTCTTGAAAGAACTTAAGCCTTTCGCATCAAAAATTATTTTTATTTTTTTTAAACAATTTTTGGGTAAAAAAGAATATATTTCCCGATATATTTTCTCCTTTTTATTTATTTACTTATTTTTGTTCATTTTCTTCTTTTTATCATCTATTTTGTAAGAATAAAAATTTTACAAAATTTACCAGGCACCGTGAATCACTCATGTTTGCCTGAATGTAAAAAATATCATTAATTTATTTATATTTCTTCTTAATCATGGACTATTACTTATAATTGCTATGAATAATTTTGTTCATAACAAATCAATTAACGAAAAAAAAAATAAAGGAAGAAAGTAAGCGAATCAGTGAACAAGAGTGCGTATTAATACCTAAAAGCCTATACGTGAATATTTGAATTAATTTTTAAACAAATAAAAAATATAAAAATCTAGATTTTTTGGCTGTCTCGATTATAATATCATATGTTTTATTGATCTATGTTTTAATTATATCAAAAAATGGTGTACTATGGATGTGTGGTATGGAATGATAGCAATAGATATTAAATTGTGCTTATATATATATATA